CTTACCAAGTCCTTTTCCACATATTAACTAACCCTTGTACCACACCTTCTTTAACTTTCTCATCAATTCTGGCCCCTTCCAAACCCAAGTAGGGGGAACTTCAGGCTGTAGGCAACTTGGGGTTTGTCTTATTCATCACCGGAACATAGTACTCCATAAATACTATTTAAATGAATAACTGAATGGTTAATGGAGAGTGCCTAAGAAAAGTCATTTGAAGGACAAATCAGGAAGTAGAAGAGTGTGCTTACTACCTACCACTTACGGTCTGCTGAGGGACTGCTAGGAACACAGTTCTCGAAAGTACCCAGTTATGTTTTCTATAGGATTCTGCTCACAGTTGTGCTGTCTGGAGGTGGGAGAAATACGAAAAAAGTCAGTTTTTAGACGAGGACTTAGGATCCGCAGGCTTGTTCCATTTATAAATGCTACCGACATCCAGCTCTGAGACCAGGAAAGTCTATTCTGGAAACTTGTGGGCCCCGCCAGCTCTTCCGCAGCTTCCCAAGGACAGGCTCCGCCAGCGGAGGGAGAGCGGGAGGCGTGGACCTGGCCAGAGTGGAACCAAAAGTGGGTGGCGTGGGAACCCCAGGGAGCAGCCAACACGGAGTGCAGGAAAATGCGCAGGCGCGGAGTAAGCGTGGCCAATGGGTCTTGCCCTGTGGCAGCGGCAGAGCGTCAGAATTGATCAGAACAAACGGGCGTGGAATTCAGGAAGGAAAGAATGTGACGCGGCCTGAGGGGCGGGGCCTGGAACCGTGAGAAGGAGCGCAGGGGATGGCAATGTCCGGAGAGGCGTGGCGGAGGTGTAGCCCAGAGCCGTGATCTGACAAAGTGGGACTTAGTCGGCGCGTGGCCGCTTATAAGGGCTTGAAAAAGTTGGTAGAAATTGCGGGAGTGGCGCGCTCAGGCAGAGGAATTACCAGAATTAAAAGCAGGGAAGTGGGCACGAAGGAGAGACGTGGACTCAGTGGAATGAGGATGGCCCGGGGAAATAATAGGGAAGCGAAAGGACTCACGGCAGTGGACACCGATGGAGAGGCGGAGCCACGGAGTAGAGTACGGACGCAAAAGACGTAACAGGAGGGGGCGTGGTCGTAGTCCACATACGTACTGTGAACGTGTGGGCGCTGCCCGTGCGTGGGGCGTGGCTTTGCCGCTCTGAGGGACGCCCAGAAGACGGTCTAGCCGGAAAATGGGTTGGGCCCAGGCTTCGGAGGGCAGGGGCGGGACCAAGCTAGCGCGCAGGTGCGTGACCGCCGCTGGAGGCCCGGAGAGACGGCAGCAGAGTTGCCACTGGGGACCGTGGCCGGGGCGGGGCATTCGGATTGTTGCAGACTTGGGTCGGGCCAACGGGGGCGTGACGTGCATGAGTGAAGTGACGTGACTCGGCGTGACGACGTAGCAAGACGGAGGGGGCGTAACCAAGATGGCCGCGCGCATGAACCTCTGATTTCGGTAACGGGTGGAGGAGTTCTCGTTCTGGGTAAGGTCCGGCGGGGATATGGAGTGCGGGAGGCAGGAGGGCTTATGTTACCAGAGGGAACAGGGACCCTCCCCTACACACGGCCACGCGATGCGATGGGTACCGGAGCCGGGACAGCTGTTGGCCCGGCGAGGACGGCCACAGTCCAGGCGTCACTTCAATGAAGAATGGTGGGGAGGGGGCAGGAAGTCGCCCCTTCCCGACTCTACCTCTGTTTCTCCATTCTGGGGGTCACTAGACATCTACACCTCCTTAGGGCTCTGTCCATCTAAAGGTAGAATAGCTGTCTCAAGTAATTTGACTGCTGAGGGGGTTGCAGTTCCAGAAACCAAGACGCAGCAAGCTGGGACTCAAACTGCATTGTTGATCTCTCTCCTGACAATGCCAGACGCTATGGACAGATTCAAAGCCACCCTCCGGGCAGGAGGTCAGCAGCATACCTGTGCCATGTAGACAGCTCAGAGCCTTCTCTACTCCACAATTCTTTCTTCTATTCTTTTTCTTTTCTGCCCCGCTTGGGAGCTGGAGGGAAAAACCCTACAAAATACGAACGTCGTTGGTGGCTATGATTGTTTGTGGCATGAGTTTAAAGCTACTGCCCTGAGGATGCCGGAACTAGTTATTTATCAGTGTAATTGCCTCTCGTTAGTTTTGCTGAGAAAGTTTGAGAAATATGGGGAGATAACGAAGCTGTGTACACCTTAATTTGGGTAGGATTTAATCTCTGTCAGACATTGAAAACCACATTACTTCATGTTTTCCTTTTATCCTTTATTAACAATCTCATCATCTCCATTTTGCTATTTAAAAGTCTTACTGGAACATGGAGATAAGTCAGAAATCTCTGGTGAGAAAACCTGCCCCACACCCTACCCATAAGCTGCACCTGCACATTCCACAGACAGGTCACTGTTCTCAGCCTGCATTGGAGTCTACAGTAAACTGAGGTTAACCTGACTTACCCTCCTTTTTGGCCTCTGGTAAAGAACTGCAGTGTTCTTGAATGTTTTGGAAGTGAAAACTTTTCAGCTTTCTAGGGCTTTCCTCTTTCATTCAGAAATTGTAAACTCGGTACTAGGACTGAAATTCACCTGAAGGCCCAAAGCAGCAACGGTGAGTAGGAATTATCTAGGCACGAGGGAGGGAGAGTCGTCCAGGGAAAAAGGAGTATCTGCCCGGGCTGGAGAGAGGATCCACAGTTGAACGAATTAAAGTCCATGTGGCTGGTGTTCAGGCTGGAGCTGGAAGTGGACGTGACAGACAGTAAATGAGCCTATCATCCTCGAGTGATCACTGAGCTTGAGGAACTAGAGTGGATAAACTATGGACACTCATTTATATCCACTCCTCGCCCCGATGTTGACTAATACTCAATGTTTCGTCCTCCTCACAGGTTGCCACGTGATCGTCGGTTTCTACTGTTACAGCTGTTCCTCCTCTATCCTCCTGCCTCTAGGTTATTAGGTTCCTGCAAGTTCTTTGGGAACTGATCAACACTTCAAGCCAAAGATGGCGGTGATGAATAGCCTGAGAGCCATCCTTCAAGCTTCTCCATGCAGATTGCTGTGGAGAAGGTTCCAGATTCCGAGGCCCATGCCAGCGAGGCCCTGCAGCCTCTACACCTGCACTTACAAAACGCGGAACCGAACCCGTGAGTCCACTGCTGCCCTAAAGAGAGCAGGAGGCTTGTTTCATGAGAATGCCGTGTGCTGAGGATTTGTAGATAGGATGTCAGTGGCATTCTAAGTGGGTTTATATGCCTTAAGAACCGTGAGAATTAACTACTTGTTCTCTCTTTGTCCTCTGAAATAAATGGGGAAAGTTCTTTCTCCCCAGCTTTATTGAGACATAATTGCAATATAACGTTGTGCGAGTCTAAGGAATTCCACGTGACGATTGGATACACGTATAGATTGCAAAATGATTACCATAGTAAAGTTGGGAAAGTTCTTGACCGGTTTTAACATGTTAAAATGATGTCATGCAAAAATAGGACAAGGGAGACGTCCCAGTTGCAAATACTTTGGAACCTGTTCTTCATTGTTTCTTGTTAGCAATTGTCTTTTTACTAAGGTTCATGCACAGACTGCGAATTATTTCTGTGACTCTCAACGTGCTGGAAGTTGCATATTAATGTTTATAGCAGTCCAGAACAGTAGCTTCACACTCTGGAGCATTGTTTCCCGAGTTAACGAATAGCAGTTCCTTCTGGCTGCCCAGCTCACCAAGTGTGTGTTCTGCTGTCAACACAGCAGATCAAGTGGTCTTCCCTGCAGCCTGTCGCATCTCGTGCCCTCCAGAAGTAGGAGTCACCATCCGCATCTCCGTGGGGCAGGGATTCTCCACTGTGGCACTACTGCCATGGGGGTAGAGTTGTCCTGTGCACTGTAGGAAGTTGGAAGGCATCCCTAAGTGTGTCGACATTCCTGAATGTCCCGAGGGACAAAATAAACCTGGTAGAGACCCCCTGGGGTGATAGGAGAGGATAATGTGTGTGTTGGTGGAGAGATGGGTTTAATGAAATGGCGAAGCATATTTTATATATTTTCCACTTTTCCCATGAATTAACTGAGACTTTTCACAGGCTTCAAAGTTCTAGGTTCTTAAACGTTTCCTCTAAGGGTTTACTCTCTTTGACCCTATGTGCACATGAAAGGAATTCCTCAGTAATGCTCATCTAGTTAAACGCACTGCCTTGAAACTGCTTCACGAATACATTTTTATTGAGAGTTTATTTTGTTTCCTCCAACATTGATTGTGTTCCTTTGAAATGAGCTGGCCAGAGTCAATACATTTCTGGTTGCTGGGTGTGGCTTCCTCCCAGCCGGCCCACTTCCTGCCCAGACTGGCTTGGTTTCAACACTGGCACTTTGTGGTCCAAGGCTTCAAGTGGGAAAAAAAATAGTCATGTTTACCTAGTTAGTAAAGTTGTACTTTTTTTAACAGAAAGTTGAAAGTTATAGTTCTAAAATCTGACGTGCTCCTGTCTTTAGGATAGTTTTGTTTCTTTCGTGCTGGCAGGAACAAAAATGAGTGGTGGCTTAGGGATGTGGGGGCTTCCCTTGATTAATGTCCCACATCAGGTGTTCTTGTTTGTCAGTTACTAAGAAAAACAGGTGACAGTCACCGTCTGATTTTGTTTGGGGCCTATTACGCCATCCCTCCCTGTTTTCTGGTCTCTGCTGCCCTGGGCACTGAGCATGTCCTGTTCTGCTATCCTGGTGTTAAAGACGGTACTCACTGTGTCCGGAAGCTCGGTACCCCAGCAGAAGGCCCAGTGTGCACTTGTGACCAAGAATGACCCGAGTGTTGACAGTTAAAAAAGATCACTGGGGTGTCCTTCACTATGCCGGCCACACAGTGAGGATGCCCTATTGGCAGCTACTTGTGGTCCTGGGCTTGTTTTATCCATCACCATCTTTATCATCATCATTATGGTCTCAGCGGCTCCCTCAAGTGTTTGTCTGACGGTTTTTAGGATTGGGTGAAGCAGAATAAGTTGCATATGAAGGAGGAGGATCTGGCAAATTTGGGAAGCAGCATTTCACTAGAGCCCTGAGCTCCCTGCTGGTCCTTCAGCCCCCACCCTCCCCCCAGGTGCTCA